TCCGTTTCTAGGAGGAACGAGAGTTTGGTTGTCTTCGACGTCAAGTTCGGTCTCTGATTCGGACGAGAGGGACGAAAGATCGGAGGAACTTTAAGATCCAATCTTGGGTGACGATTCGGGTATGATCCTTCTGGACTTCTTCACTTCGCAAACGAGAGTGGGAGATTCGATGGGAGAACAAAAAAAATAGAGGACAAGAGATTTTGGTTGGTTAACAACTGAGTCCTATGTAGGAGGGTGAATCTAAAGAGGATTTTTGCGAGCGCTCCGCAATGGAAAATCTTCGTTTTTAGCGAGCGCTCCGCGAGGAAGAATGGAGATATTGGTTTTTTTTTTTTTCTTTTAAAGAAAACTGGTATACGTGATTTGTTCTTTTCTAAAGAAGGAGAAAAGAAGAAGAGTATGTATGAGAAGAAAGTACTAGAAAATTTTTTTTATTTTTTTTTTTATTTGCCTGATGAATTAAGTTTAGAAGTATGATTATAAGAGGTCTTTGGAATAAAAAATTTCCTGATGAGGCCCCCAATTGTGAGCCTGGGTCTCTATAGTGACAGCAGGACACAAGAATTTGGGGGGCACTTTTAAATGTATTTCTTAAGAAAAGAGAAATACAAATAAAAGTAGAAAAAAAGGGGAATGAAAGACTGAGAGAAAGAGATGATATTTTTGTTCTTTATTTATTTTAAGAAGATGGATTAAGTTAAGCAGTCTTACTTTCCACTAAGGATGGCTGGTAATAAGCGGAGCTAACTCTGACGCCTCCAAATCAACAGAAACTGAAATGGGATATTGAACTGATGAATCAGATCAATCCACAATTTTTTAGATCAAGGATCAAGGCTCTTTAAAGGGAAACCTATGTAGTTTTCAGTTATACTACCAAACAGGGAGAATTGAGGTAATAGCAGCTATGGCTTGCTTTCTTGGATCAGGGCTTTGGGTTGGAGGAGTAGAGAAAAGGTTGAGAGAGACTGAGAGAATAAACAAGCAGAAAGATGCTAGCTAAAACTTATGAAAAGTACTTACTAATGACACCAATGACACTGAAATAGTGGAAAAGGTGGGAAAAGTGGAGTGCTTCTGGTTGATAAGTGATGGCTTGATCTGTTTCTGGGTGTTGGTGTTCTGTGTTGGTCTGGAGTCTGAAAATCCTCTGGAAGCGGAATCAACAAGCTCAGATAGGATTTTCAAAGTTGGATTATGTAATCTGGCATGTACATGTGGTAGAGGGAGCTGAAACCTAAGGTTGGAATAATTCTTGGAGTACTGTGAATTATTACAAAGTCAATGAAGGAATGGAGTTGGGTAAAAGTGGTCAGTGGTGACTAGGGTTAATTTTACACCAGGAATCCATTTCTGAAGTCAGAAAGGTTAAAAGTCTTAAGATAAAAAAGATATGATAGTATTTTGAATAGAAATGGGCAGTTTTGGCAGTCTTTTGGCCAACTTGGTTGGCTCTAAGGCTGACAACTATTTCCAAGCCAAGGGGACTTCAGGTGGGTGAAAAATGGTCTGGGAGCGCTCAGAAAACTGGGTAACAGGTTTTGGAAGAGTGCTGGGGAACAGTTGACGGTTGGGTTGGTGATATCCAAGACAGAAACAGCAGGAACTGGGCCAAAACAGGTGAAAAACTGGTTGTTGGAGGTGGTTATTGCTGGTAAATGGTAATGAAGATGGGAAATCAGAGTTTGGGGGCAAGAAGGGCGTCTTATATACTCATTCTGGGCCCTTGGAGGCAAACTAAGAACTCTGTTTGGCTTGTGCAAGCCTCCTACTAGGCATTGGTGACCTGTAGCACTGCCTAGACACCTGTAGTCCTTGGTTACAGGTGTCAGAGGGCTGAAGTGAGGCTTGTAACACTCACTAGGGGGTTCTGTGACAAACCTGCATCCATGTTTTGGTCACTGAGACCCTTTAATGACCAGTGGGCTGGTCTTAACCAGGCGTAGTTAGCCAAATTGGGCCAAAAAGGGCCACAAATGGCTTTTGACCAGCCAGTTACAGTTGTTGTGACAACGTAGTTAAGGTTTCAATGATTTCAACCTTATTTTTGGATTTTTCCCGAACTGCATGAACCTTAATTACATGTGTAGACCTGTCACAACATGTAGTATGATGTAACTGGGAGGGTTTCTAGCAAAATGAACAAGTGTCACTCAGAGTACACAGAAGTGCATGAAGGAGTAATAATTAAGGGGTACCTTTGGTGAGGTACCCTAGGTTATTTTGCATGAAGATTAAGAATCTGAAATAATATTCTAACTTTTGCTTAAGTTTTAGAAGTTATTTGTAGATTCATGTTAAAATGTTTATTTATAAATGTTTTTGGTTTATTTTTATGTTTTCTTTTATGACTAGTAGAACTTAATGTAATGAGTAATAATGTCTCTATTATAGTGATTCCACTTATTTAAATATTAATGTTTTTATATGTACATATGTGATAATGTCTCTATATTATGTACAAGCTAGGCTGTACTCCGTAGAGGAGTTCAAATGGAGAGTATTTGCTACTGCTCCCTGCGTGTATCCTCGTGGAGAATAAGGCTTCCTCCAAGCAGTCTTCCCACTTGGACGGATCACCTGTGGTGTTCAATCAAAACAACGCTGACTCTAGGACACCGTTAAACCGTTCACACTTCCCATTTGTTTGGGGGTGATATCCTGAAGTATTCAACTTCTTCACTCCTGCTTTATCCAGGAGCTTGAGAAACCCGGATGACATAAAATTTGAGCCGCGGTCCGTCAAAAACTCTTTAGGCACTCCACAAGGAGTTATCACATGATCGAACACCGCTTGGGCTATTTCCCCGGGGTTAGCCTCCTTGATCGGAATTGCTATTGGCCAAGAAGTGCAATGATCAACCATTGTTAATATCCAACAGTAGCTATTTTTATAGCTCTTCGGCATTTGAATGAAGTCCAAAGACCACCTTTCAAAAGGCCCGACAACCAGGAGAGGCGTCTGCTGCCCCGTCTCTTGGCCCTTATCTGGCCTTTTGTGCATCTGGCATGAAGCGCATGTCCAAACGTAGTCCTTTACGTCTTTGTATCGGCAAGGCCACCAGCCCCGGCCCCTGAGGACTTGCAGGGTACAATCCCGTCCCCTGTGGCCAAGCTGGTCATGGACCTGGTACAAGAGATGAAACCGGTGTGCTCGCGGGACAAATGGAGACCGCTCCCGTAACCCCGGATGGCCAAGATAGATCAAGGTCTCGTCAGCGGGGTTGTACTTGAAGTTATCTGATTTTTCCCGTGCCCGGGTAACCAGCCGCGGTGGCATGCCCTCAGGCAGTTCCACCCCTTCCAACAAATATGGGATTATCAGAGGCCAATCCGTTTCATGGAGTTGGTCGTCGATTTCTTCCACAACGCGAGGTCGCTCCGCCTAGACAGAGCATCTGGAACGGTATTTTCCAAACCCTTTTTATAGCGGATATCAATATCCATTTTCGCAAACTCCTCAAGCCATCGGCAGAGCTGTTTTGACAGCAGCCTCTGTGTCCTGAGGTATACCAGCAAGGCGTGATCAGTTTAGACTATAGTAGTCTCTACCGCCCCATCCAAATACACGTGCCATTTACGCCAAGCGTGAATAATGGCTAGCAACTCCCGTTCTTGAGCCGGGTAGTTGACCTGGGCTTTATTAAGCTTACATGACTCAAACGCCACCGGGTGGAGGAGTAAATCCTCTCCGGCTTGCAACAACACGGCCCCAACGGCAAAGTCGGAGGCATCCGTCTCCATGACAAACGCTTTGAGCGTGTCCGGAGTGAGGAGGACCAGTGCACTCACCAGAGCATCTTGCGGCTGTTTGAAAGCAATGTCGTGGACTGGCATCCAGCGCACTCGTTCTCTCTTCTTCACCCCTCCCGCCGTCAAGTCATGCAGAGGTGCCGCTATCTTAGCAAAACCTCTGACATACCGGCGATAGAAACCACAAAGGCCCAGAAATGACCGCACATCAAAAACTGTCAATGGTTTTGGCCATAATTGAACAGAGGAGATCTTCTCCTGCATTGGCCGGATGGTGTTAGATGAACTCCCGCAGGATATGGTTCATCATCCTCTGGAACGTGCTAGGCGTGTTCACCAGTCCAAACGGCATAACAAGCCATTCATAATGGCCGTACTTCATGCCAAAAGCAGTCTAGCTTAGGAAAATCCGACCGGGCTATCTTCATCTGATGAAAACCCTGCTGGAGGTCAATCTTCGTGAAAAAACGGGCCCCTCTCAGCGCGTCGAAGCATTCCTGAACTATGGGAAAGGGGTGCTTGTCTTTCTTAGTGACAGCGTTAACCTGTCGGTAATCTACACATAAACAAACCTTCCCCTAATTCGGGTTCTTCACAAAAACTATTGGAGAAGACCATGCCAATGTTGACGGCCAGATAAATCCGGTGCGCTGCAAGTTTGCCAATCTCTCCTTTAGTGTATCAAGCAGTGCCGGCAACAGCTGTCTGACCGGCTGGGAGATGGGCTGAGCCGCTCCCGTATCAACAAGGTGTTCTATCACCCTTTCTCGGGACGAGACTGCCTCGATTGGACCAAAAAGTACTGTGTACTTGTCAGCCAAGAGCCTCAAACGCTTAGCCAGAGGCTCATCTGAGCCAAACGCCAATGGCAGCTCCACCGGAACCTCATCTCGAGGCCCCACCACGCCCTTGGACTCCGTCAACGCAAGCAGCTTCTCTTACGCTCCTGACCACAAACTACTCCTCCTGAGAAAAGGCGGTATGAACACTTCCTGCTTGTCAGTGAGCGGAAGCAAATAAGTGTCCTGAATGAGACAATTTTCTGACAATCCTGGCTGAAAAGGAAAGACATTACCAACAGGTCCCTTCAGCATCCAAGTGTTGCTCTCCCAATCTGTGGAGACAACATTAGTCGCAATCCAATCACAACCCAAAATGATGTCGTATGTACTTAACGGCGCTATGCAACAGTAGACGACAAAACTCACACCAGACAAACGAAATGAAACCTTCCCTAACCTATTGTCCTGGATTTTGTCCCCATACGCTCCTGTAATACAGAAATTGGTGGGAGAGAAAGATATAGGGATCCTACGGTTGGATGAAAAAGAGGAGGATACATACGACAAACCAGCGCCTGTATCCAGAAGGACCCTGGCCAAACAGCCCTCCACCATGTGATGGAATTCAGCGCAGAATTTATTTGGCTCGTCAGCCATTAAATTCAATGACTCAACGGGCTTACCACTCAAACAATCAAATACAGTGTCGGCAGCTTCCCAGCGAAGCTTGTCTGACCCGGCTACCCCCATGCCTGGGCGGTCAGCTAGACTCAATGATGCATCAATCTCACAGTGAGGCTCACATAACTCCGGTTCAAAAAGAGATTCATTACTGAAAGAAGAGAGAACTGGAATTACAACAGACGTCAATGGGAGAGACTCCTCACCATTGACTACGCTTTTTTTCTTTATTGGCTTTTTCTTCAGCGTGCTTTGCCTCCCAAGCCTTTTGACAATCCGTCTTTGGCTCTGGGAACTTGGCGAGAACATGCCCCTCCTTCTTGCAATTGTAGCAAGCAAGGCAAGAGGACTTCTTCTTCCGGTCCCAACCGTAGTCGCCATCTGATTGGCGCTTTCCGGATCCGCCACCAGAGGTGGAGGCAACAGGGTGCAATTTGCGATGCTTGTGGTCGTGCTCAATGGCGTACAACAGGATTTGAGGGAAGTCCATTGGCTTGCGTTGTAACAAGCTTGCTGACCTCCGTGGCTAGGCCCCGGATCAGCTTCTTGACGAATGTCGTCTTCTTGTCGTACTGGTAACCATAAGTTTTTGCCTTGGTTTGCCAGTCTCTGAACCGTTCGTAGAACTCCTGACACGTCTCGTTCTGGCTTTGGAAAAGGCGGTTGAGCTGGTCGGAGATCGACTGGTCTGTAACTGCTAACGGATTCAGAGCGATCAACCACTTTTTGAAGTTGGACAGCTCTTGGGTTTGGAATTATCAAGGACTGCATCCTTGTAGTTGCGGAAGGCTTTTCCACTGAGGCATCTACTAGTGGCAACATTCCAGACACCAATGTGAGCCTGGCGGTCTTCAAGGAGTACCTCCATGGTGACCAACCAATCCCGGGCATCTTCACCCGGGGTGCCCTTGAACTTGGGGCAGTCCTTGTTTGGCCAGGCCTTCAGGATTTTGCCCACGTTGACCTCGGAGTGGAGTTGAGGGGGCGCAGGGGTCAAAGGTTTGACTGACGGCTTCACGTCTTCAGTCGGATGGTTGCCTTTGACATCGACATTCATCTGGGAGAAGGGACCAGTAAGCTTCGACTGAATCTCCTTATCATCTACTGAAGAGGCACCTACAGGGTTCTAGTAATCAATTAGCTCATTGTCGGGCACCTTGATCGGATGTTGGCGCTTAAAGAGCCACTGACATTCTTCTGGGCCCAACCTGTTAGAATAAGCATCAGCTATATATTTTAGGGAAAAGAATGACTAGACCAGGATTCGAACCTGGGACCTCAGCATCAGCTAAGTCACTTTACTAGGAGTGATGCCTTTACCACTAGGCTATCCAGTCTTGTCCAGGATGTTGATTTTAAATGATATGATTCCTATGTGTTAGTGTCATCAACTTGATTGTGTACATGAATTGATTCTATTCATGACATATGATTTTTATCATGTATGATGAAACAGGTTGACACAATGGATTTGTATTTCAACACAACCCAGCCACCTTCTCCTTGGAGTAAGGCACCCCATACTTTGGCGCTGGGGGAGCAATCTCCTGGGGGATCGGCAAGTTGTTGGTCTTGGGTGGTGGGGTCTGAGCTAAAGACATCGTCGATCTACACAATCGGAGAACACAAAAGAACACAGGCTGTAAGCCTCACAAACAGAAATCAAAACAGCACCGGGTGCTACTGCAAGAGGCATTCGGAACCTCCACTGAGGAGTTCCCAAAAACTGCTACTGGCTGTTTGGTCCGCTTAGACGTCGTCTAAAGGAGGGGGATCAACTGACAATTCGCAGGTATAGTTTGGAAGAGGGCAGTTGGGGTGAGTCCAATAGACAATTGAGAGCAAAAGATAGTATGTAAATTGCCTCCTTCGAATGGATAAGTAAACGTAGAGCGGTATTTGTCGGACAAAAAAAGATAACTCGCTACCACTGTAACAGAGCGGGCTCAAATGTCACAGAAATGAGGGCTTTTTAGAGCGCAAGGTGATGCTTGGGGCCAGAAAGACTAGAACTGGAGGACTTCCCGTCGCCATTTAGAGTGCTTTTTAAGCCCTCTACAGTCCTAAATTAACACCTCCATCATAATTCCAACCAGCTCACATCAGAGCTATCTTCACAAGGCTTGTGAAAAAATAAATTTTTATACCAAAAATTAAGATCTAGGGGGTGTAAATTGAAATCTGGGAGGGTTGTAAACGGCGACGGGAAGTCATCCACTAAGATGTATTCCGTCTGAAGATAGATGGGTGATCAAAAAACAACTGGAGAAGAGGCCGATACAACCTAAGAGAAAGAAACCAAGAGCCGAGAGAACAAGTGCCAGCACGCAATGCTGCAAGGAGTGACTAGAAAAGAGATGACAGAAGGAATGTTTGTCATAGCGCAAGTACCGCGCGTCGTAAGAGAGGCTCTACATCTACCGGCTTCCAACAGAAGGCCGGTAACCGTTAGGCCTCTATGGTTGTGATAACTGCAGGGGGTCGCTTATGCGGTAGCCCCTGTACCAGCGTACTTTAGCCGGTATCTTGTACCGGGTGCATACCGCACTGCTACAGTAATTATCTGTTTACTTCTCTAATGCAAGCATGAGGAACAAAGTAAATAGGGGGTATCAAATATAAGCAAATCCACAATTATTTATTGTGTTTGCAAGAAACCTTGGATTGGTTTGCTTTTTGATTTTTTTGTAATCCTTCCAATTTATGGATTTACCTTTTCGCTTTATTAATTTCAGATAAGTTTCTGCCTCAGGTGTCCCAGGGCTTTCAACTTCTTCCTCAGCTCATGCAACGGTCCAGTGCTTGGTCGGCATCACTGATGGGGCAGAAGGGAGTGACCAGTCCTGGTGAGCGGCTGGTTGGACCTACAAACTGCCCTGGTTCCAAATATGAACCTCGTTTTTTCTTAATTCTCCTCCAAGAGCATCTACTGGAGCAACATGGCTCCGGAGGTGGTTTTATCCTTGGGTGTTATCTGACATCTGTCAAGATAAAACCCGACTGAGAAAATGAAAATATTGGATTAGCAAAATCAAATTAAAAGGATTACAAAAAATTCAAAAAGGAAACCAATCCAAGGTTTCTTGCAAACACAATAATTGACTGGTTTTGAAAAACCCACCATGATTCAAACATGTTGGTTTTTCATCTTGCACCTTTGGGGACCCATTGGTGGAAAAAAATATTTTTGGATAATTTACTGGTTTCTAATGGTGGATTTCTTATATTTGATACCCCCTAATGAAAAGGTGTAGTCTCTCTATATACATGCAAGTGGTTCTGCTCAGGTACTAGTGGTAAGATATCAGCTGAAATGTGAATATGGTCTAAAATAAGTTGTATCTGAAAGACAAGTGATTCTGAAATAAATATGGCTGACAAATGTGTAGTATGAAATAATTTTGTTGAAAAATATCAAACAATCTATGTTTGTGATAAAATTAATATACAGTGAAAAAGTTATTAAATGATAAGAAACTGAAATATATATTCCTAAGTGAAATAAGAAATCTGTATGGTGAAATATATATGTAGGTGATATAAGCAATGTTTAATAGCAGGGTTCATGATCAGCTCATGTCAGGAAGATTTACCGCAACCTCAGCATTCACAATCTCTGCTGCGGAGCTTAAATCCATTACAAAAAATAAAGAAACCCTGCAAAATGTTAGGAAAAATAAGGCCCTCACCCTCTGATGGAAACATTCTTACTTGTGCTTCTGTGCTGCCCATCCGGCCACCTATAAATCACAACCAACAAAACTCTCTGTCCCATCCAGCCACCTATAAATCACAACCAACAAACCTCCCTGTCACATCCTGCCACCCATGAACCCCAACCGAAAACACCCCTGAACCAACCTTAATCAACAATCCCCTTGGTTTAAAAATGTGGACACCCAGTTAACAACAGCAGCTCATCCGTGATGTATTCCTTGTCATGGCCTACCACCACAAGACGGAAACAGAAAACCTGCTTGACATGAGAATGGGTCTTCTAACAATCCCAAGGTTTGCCGGCATCCTGTTCCCAACTAACCCAAGGCTTCAATTTTTGTGGGAGATGTTATTTGAGGACAAGACAGAGGCTGGTGAGATTCTTGAATATATACTTAGCCAGCAATACTTGGAGGCCCCCCAACTACCCATGAAGACTACAAAGTCAGTGTCAGCAACTTCCAATACCCCACCAGTTGGCCCTTACACTCAAACGACTTGGCTCAAATGGGAACGGTGCTTCAGTTGGCCGGTTCTCACAAAATCTTAGCGTCGGCCAAGGTAATGTCATCAAAGTCAGTCGACGGGTCATTCAAGCAATTAATGAATCCTTGGAAGGTTTCATTGCCTGGCCCAATCTAGAAAGACAGGCAGAAATATCCCAAGTGATGAAGGAGGGGGGCTTTGAAGGCTGTGTTGGTTTTGTCGATGGAACCACTATCCCTTTGCATCAGCGCCCTGGTCTTGATGGCGAAGTATACTGGGATTGAAAGAAGCAGTACTCAATTAGCTGTCAGATCATATGCAACTGTGATAAAAACATCACTTTGTTCATGACTGGCGGGCCTGGGACATGCGGGGACAGCATGGTCTACAAGTCAAGGAAGATCCACTCGGAAGCAGAACGGTTCCTTGGCCCAGGTAAGTCATCTCATGATCATATTCTTCAGCTGATAACTCACTGATGTATCAGCTAACTGGTGATGTTTTCTTTTGTCTTATCTGCAAGCCAGTATCTCCTGCCCAACTCAGCATATGCATTGTCAAAGACAACAATACTAGCTTCAAATGTCCTGGAAAGCACAGAGTTCAGCTATTTTTTAGCCAAATCCTGGGTAAAAAATGAACACACTATTGGGATTATAAAGGGTTGAGGGGCATCTCTCCAGAATCTCCAATTGTGTCTCAATCAGAAAGATCATATGATGGAAATAATCAGATGGATCAACTGCTGTATTGTTTTGCACAACATACTTGCTCAGCTTAGTGATTCATGGAACAAGATGGACAATACAGCTTGGAATGATTTAGGTCCTCTGGCTCCCCCTCCTCCAGAAGGCCAGATCAGTTCTGAGGAAGAACATAGGGACATTATACAGAAGAATTGTTTGGACTGGAACTACTTGATTGGCACTCTCCCCATCCCATCTTAATCCACATTCTTTTTCTCTTGTCATCCATTCTTGCCTCAGTTTGATACAGTCAATTTTAAACACAAGTAAACGATTGTTATTTTTTTTTTCAAATGCAATTCATTCATTCCATTAATCATGTGAGTGTGAGATGCGTTGCTTAATTAGTGCAAATGAGAAATGGAAACAATTTCATCAATCATCTGATTAATATGCATGAGTTGATCAATCATGTGATCATGAGGGACATTGGTTGTGGGCTGAGCCTGAATCAAAGAACATACATAGATTATGAGGTACATTGGTTGTGGGATGAATCAAAGAAGATACATCAAGTCATGCATCATGTGATACAATTGGAGTCAAGGGAGGGAATAAGATATGACAATTTTTAAAGACCAAGAACGGTCAGAAGAGAACAAAAGATATTGGTGAGCAAGAGCGGCCAGAAGGATGTTGTGATCAATTTTAACCAAGGATCACAGACCAAAGGAGTCCAAGGGATGATGAGATTAGATAGAGAGAGTCAAAATTCAGAAGAGAACATCAAGAATCAGCTTTCTAGAAAAGACTCCTGAGGAGTATCTCAATATCACCGGAGCTCTTTCCTTCAGCCAACCACTTTTCAGAAGCATCCATTTTGGCTTGACCCCGCTTGGAAGACTCCTCTCGTTCAAGGTTGTACTTCTTCTGCTCCAACTGAAACTTGCTCTCCTCAATTCCCATGTGCTTGTTTAGGTAGGCAAATTTTTGTTTGGATGAGGATTCAAATGCACCAGCAACTGTAGATTTTGTCTTGTTGTTGGTGGTATCTCTTCTTGGGGCCAGGATAGATCAGTCCAGACCAGGCAAATTGACAAAACGTCCACGGGTGGCCAAGTCCAGAGGAGTGAAGGTACCGTGTGCCATTAATAGTGTTGGGCTCACTGGGTTGGCTGATGTAGTGTTTTCAGAGCTTGTGGGGAGGAGGTCTTCAAGGGAAGGTAGCTCGCCATTGACCTCATTGTTATTGATGTTGAAGCCACTTCCTTGGTGGTTTTCAATGAGTCCATCAATTGACTGATCATTGAACAGGCTCAGATCAATTTTTGGGCAAAAGGGAACTGGCAAAGGTGTTTGAGGATAAAGGCTTGCACCTGGCTCAGATTCAAAAATACCAGCAGGGGAGTAATTGGCCTTTGGTCCAAAAATGCTTTCCATGCAAGAATGATAAGGGAAATTGGATTGTAAACTAGTGTTGTAGGATCAAAACTGTTTGCCCTCCTGAGTACCTTTGCCGGCTGAGTTGGATTTCTTCTTGGCATCAAAAAGTTGCTTCTTGTAGGCCACCAACCATTGACGGCAAAGTTTGCTTTCCAAGGTGAGGCCGCTGTGACTGCTGGTGCTCATGTATATAGCAAAGGGACTATAGGCAGCCCCCTTGGTGATGCATTGAGGACCACCGTGGGTTTGAGATCCATCACTGTGGAGTTCTGTAAAGTTTCTGAGGCTCTCAAAATATGTACATACAAGCTCATAGTCCTTGTGCTGGAAGAAAAGGCATTTAACTGGACCAGCATGGGATTCTGGTGAGATGGACATAGCTGGTTGGGACTGAGAGGTAGAAGTCAGGACCGGCTGAGACTGGGAGCCACTTGCTTCTTGTTGTGATATTCATTTATTCCCCTGCCTCTTGGCAGCGGCATCCCAATCCCTCTGCTTTGAAACTAGGTCGGCTCGGTAGGCTGCCATTCCAACCCAATTCCTGCGCTCCCTCTTGGGCTGTGCAGTTCCAGAAGGTGCCTTATTGGTTGGCCTGATTGAGGCGGCATCAAAGATTGTTCCATTTCCTATAGTGATCAGACAGAGTAAGGGGGGGTGATAAAAAAAAGCTGACATCTTGTTGTCAGTTGAGAACAAAATTGATTTGAAATATCTTACACTTCCAGATCTGAGGATTTTTGTGATGACACAGGGGTGGAGAAGTGTTGATGAGGTGATCTGCTGATTGACAGTGATTGGGGGAGGAGGTAATGATCAAGGGGGTGGCTGAGGAGGGGGAGGGGGAGGAGGGGACAAGAGAGTGAGGTGATGGCAGGCTAACAGTGCTATCCTCAATTTTTAAGCCCTTCTCATCTGACTCAGGAACCTTAAGAGCATCCTGAACTCTTAATTTAGAGCTTAAATGAATCTTAATTTAAGGTCAGAATTTGCAAACTCAGGGCTACCTGAAGCAAGGTCAGGATTGCTAATCTTGATCATGAACCCCGCTAATGAGTTGAAATGAGATGGAATGAAATAAATGTAGTGATGAGTGAGATGAAAGTAAGAATATCTGGGATGAGAAGGTAAATGCATGGGACAAAATAGTATACAAAGTCTGACTAAGTGGTATCTGAGATGGAATAAATAATATTTAGTGAAAGGTTATTGTCATAGAAGGAAGGTACTGAGGGAAAACTAATTGGTATCCTGAGAGGTCTGATATGTAGTATGTTGAAGCTATGTTTTAACATATATATTGTGGCCAAATGAGTATAAAACTAATCTTTTATAAATTTCTGAACTGAATACAAAATGATACATTAGGGGGTATCAAATATAAAAAATCCACCATCAGAAACCAGTCACTTTTCCAAAAATATTTTTTTGCATAAATGGGCCCCATGTAACAGGGCCCTTACAGAAAATCGGTTAAGCTGGTTTTTATAAGTATCTTTGGACTTAAGCGTAAAGTTTGTTGTTTAATAATTGTGTATCATATTTGATGAGGAACAAAGCCTCATGAGAGGGTTGCTTATAAGTCTATGTACAATCAAACCGTGGATACATAGAATAGCAGCAACATTGATGATACAGTGAGAAACAATAATGACGTCATAGAAATACCAAAGGGAATGTAATACTATGGATTTAGTATGAATACATGATTTAATACAGAGAATACAAAGAGAGGGGGGATGTGAAGAGGATTGTAAGGCTTAGTATCTTTGAATACCATACTAGCGCACGGCTACACCCAAAAGAAGTTAAATGGATAACCAACATGTTTAAAAAAGGGTGGATTTTTTCAAACCAGTCAATTAAATAATGGTGGATTTGGTTATATTTGATACCCCCTATTGTGTAGCATATGTATATCTGGTTGTGACATCATCGAAACTACTACATATAGCTAATTTGTACTAAGTATGACCTTGATTGGTCTTGCCACACCATGATAAGCACACCCAGAAGAGTAGACAACTAGACAATTGGTGTTTGCACATATTCTTTTGGTTGCAAGTGTGCTCCAGAATTGCTCAAAGCAAGATTCCCCTTGATGAGATAGAAGGAGCCGGCCAAATCCACTCCTGGCAAAAACGACACAGATTGAATACACCTCAAGATTGCCAGAGGTTGAAGGAAAAGAGACAACTTGGACTGGGAGGATTCAAATCTCTTCAAAACTGTGTTTCCACAAACAGAATTATCACACATGCACTGAGATGGCTCACATTGAGAGGAAGAGTGATGAGATTGATTTATATCTTTGTGATTGTAATTGAGGATTCAAATGAATCTGCTAAGACACAAGCTTGATTGGATCAACAGAGGAGATGCTAATTGGTTAGGACACTGAACTGTTAGATAACAGTCCTGTCTCTGCTGAGATTTTTAGGATCAACATGGAGATTGAGGCATCTCTTTACCTGGTGGAAGACTGTGGACTCTCTATCACACCATGAGGCTACAACAGGACCACAGTCACCCCTATTTTTCTTGGATTGGACTAAATACTTGTCCCACTCTAGATCAGGAAGGATCAATCTGTTGTTCACAAATTTGGCCTTCTGGCAGGTATCCAGAATATGCATGGTGCTCTGGTTGAATCCGTGAGCTGTCAAATTTTCAAATACGTTACAACTGAATCAGCACAAAATTATCCAGGCTGGAAGGAGACGGTGCACTCTCACATCAACTGCCTCACTACAGTCAACTCTCTATTACCCCATATACCTATTAACCCATGATTCACATAACCCATGGAAAAATTGTTCCACCAATTTGGTGGGCAGGGAAGTTTGGGCTTATAAACCCATAAGTCCCTATAGCCCAGTAACCCACCCATACCAATCTTAAGGGAAAACCCGGAAGTTCATGGGTTAATAGGGACATTTTTCCCAGGCTTCTTTAGGTTCTTGTGCCAAAACAATCATTGAAATTTGCTGTTGGCTCATCTCCTTTCTCACACACTAGGCCTTTTTTATTGATCTCCTTTCTCACTTAGATCACTTGATTAGTCAAGGATGTAAGAACCAAAGAAGAAGACAACAATGATGATGACAAAAGTAGATCTAATGACCCACCCCACCCTATACCAAATGCAAAAGTGGTCTTCAAGGCCATCCCAATCATCAACAACTACATTGAGAGCAACACAAGTGATATTGCCAATAAACTCAACCAATTTATGGAAATCTACTCAAAGCAACTCATTAGGACGGTTCACGTCTGACTTTATAGCCACTTTATTGGTCAGCTGTTTTGCTGGTCTGGTAAAATTTTACCGTAAATTTAATTGCTTGCACAAAAAAAAACTTGCTGGTTGGTTGCTGCTCATACTAATCTCTCTTGAACTATTTGCTAAAATTCGATCCCCCCAAGTTCCACTCAGGCTCAACTTGCGGTATCACCGATCAGCCACAAACCACATCAAAAAATCACGCCAGAACCAACCAGCCTACCTCAAAACAACTGCTCTTGTAAGTCATGAGTTTGAGATTCAGGGATCTAACAGCTCAACTTACCTTGTTCACAACATTCTACAATCTCAGGCTATGGATAATGTGTCATTGACCATCAATTGATTGTTGGGGCAGCATTGCCTTTGACCAGCCAAACTTGTCAGCCAAAGCCCAAACGTTCTTGTCGCACCAATGCTCAAATGAAGGCACATCGTACAGAAAAAGAAAAGCTCAAAACGGCAAGGGAGGAACTCAAGGCGGACCGCAAGCGCCTTGCACAGGAAGAAAAAAATCAAGCAAGAAAATCAACTGGCACTGGCTACGAATCTTCGAAGAATGAAGACCGCGGCAAGAATTTTGACCATAAGGATTTCAAAAACATATGTAGTTATCTCGAGACACCTGGACACTACACCGATCTGTTCGGCAATGGCCAAAAGACTAGTGTAGGCCAAGCAAAGTTGACAAAAGCAAAGGCCTTTGATGGATTTGCTGTGTGGATGAACAGTCTCAGTCCAGATCTCCAACTGAGTGGTCGCCGACTTCAACAACGTCTCACTTCTTACAAGCAGAAATATATCAAATCAAAAAACTTTGAAGAGAAAACCGGCGCCGGGGTGCTTGACGAGCATGGTCCTCAGACTCTAGCTGAAACTCTCGAAGACATGTGCCCATGTCATGATTGTATTGATGCAATCTTCCGAGACAAGCCAAACATCACTCCGATGCATGAATTTGACCATTCACTTGCCTCGGCCACATTGCTGCCTAACGAAGAACTCACCGACGGAGAGTCTAGTGGAAGTTCATCCTCTCATGGTCTGATCGGTGGCTTGAATTACGATCCAATCTTGGAGGATTTGGATGTTGAAATGTTATCGACGACTCCTGCGGTATTGCCAACTCCTTCGGTAATCAACAATCCAGTGGTTCCTGCAATCCAATCGGATCGGCCTGCAATACAATCCGATCCGATTCCTGAAAAGGATGTTGAAATGTTATCGACGACTCCTGCGGTAATCAACAATCCAGTGGTTCCTGCAATCCAATCCGATTGGGCTGTGATACAATCCAATCCAATTCCTGAAAAGGATCAGTTTCTGATCAGCTACCACCCAGCACAATCAGCCCCCTGTACCAATTCCATCGGGCTCCACTCTATAACGTTGGTGGCCCCTACCAATGCAGCTTTGGAAGTGCTACGTCAAAGGGCTAGTAACGCTCCGGAGCCAAAATCCAAACCAAATCTTGCGACTTCTTTTACTCAGGGAAACAATCAAAAATTTGCTATGTTAGAAAAACAAATTACGATTGATCAACAACGATGGAATCATCAGGTTGCACAATCAAAGCTAGAAGAAAGCCGAGCCAACAGGAAGGAGAAAAGGGAGGTGGATCTTGAGGACAGGCGATTAAAGTTTGAGGAGGAGCAATTTGATCGACTTCAAAAACAAGAAGAAGCAAGAGTATCAGGGTTGAAAGAGGTAGAAGTCAAAAAGAAACAGATGGTCAACAAGATGCTCCAAGAAGGCAGATCACCAAATGAGATCACTGCCTTAGTGCGCCTGATTTATGGATAGGCTAGTTTTATTTCATCTTCAAATCCTCTACACTCGACCACTTGCCCAAATCCCCATTCATCAATTTATTAACAGAAATTCATCACCTGTTATTCATGTTAAATACATGATTATCTCTCTCCTGATATTTAAAAATTCTCATTCATTTTTAATTGTAAATACACAATTATAGCCTTATGGGCACTAAAAAGGTAAAACTCCTAATTCATAGTTAAATGAAACACATTCATGGGTTAATTGAGAGCGGAAAGCTTCGTCGGTAGCAGCAGGAATTTGATCATCATCGCTGGATTCAGCTGAAGGGTCAAGGTTTTGGTCTTCAGGTGCCAACTCGGTCCATTGATCACCAAGTGTTGCTAAAAGGTTATGGAGAATGATACAGCTATAAAACCAGGCAAGATATTGCCTCATATGACCCCGATTATACAGATGCAATCACATCTCCCGCAAAGAAGCCCATCGAGACTTGAGGATACCAATTGTATGTTCGTTTCTCACTCGAGCCTTGGCCAGACAGTAGTTGAAATCGGTATTGATGAGGACCTCTGTCGCAGGTGCTTTATATGCAGGAATGGTAGTTCTTGTAAGATCATACGCTGAATCAGCGAGCAGATACTGACCTTTCCATTCAAAGATGATGTCAACAGAGGATCACCAAATAACAGCAAGATCGGATAGGAGATGGACTTACCCTGATCAAAGAATTGTGATGGGTTCTGATGGAGCTGCATCCGCTGGTAGACCTTACTATCACCACATGATCCTGGCCATCCAGAGATGAAAGACGTGATGAACCTATCACAATCACACACAATCTGAGCATTCATAGAGTATCGTTTCTTGCGATCGAAAAACGTCTCGCCATCAAATCCTGGGCGTTGGAAGATTGGGATAGTAGTACCGTCAACAAACCCAACACATCCAGAAAACCCCTCCATTCGCATAGCTTCCGATATCTCGGCACGGCGATCCTTATCAGGCCATTGGACGTACACCTGTCCCATTGATATGAGAGCCTCGATGACCCGACGGGTTACCTTTACTACAGTACCTCGAGCAACTTGCAGATTTCAAGAGAACCGGCCTACAGAGGCACCGTTGCCATTTGAACCAAGTCGTTCAAGCGTAAGAGCAAGTTGATGAGGAATTGGTAGCTGAGGTCTATGCCCCCCACAATGAAAAACTTCATTGTCAAAAATTGTATCGAGCACTTTAATGAAACCGTGTTTGGTTGTTCTTGCTGCCTGTTGGAAGTCGTTATTCGACATGTCAAAAAGCCTTTCAATATCAAATTCTCCTTGTGATTTTGGCACCCCCCGTGGCGCTCGACCATCAAATCTGTTTCTTCATACTCCAGCCGTAATAGTATCATTAAGATTTCCCTGATTAGACACTGCCTCTCGGAATACTGTCTCATGACTCTAGAGAATGGCCCAATAGTTAGTCATCTAAAGAAACTAAGGGAATTACACATTAACGAAAGATACTCACAATGTGGTAGTTGATTCGGAGATGATTTCTAGCTCTGTGAGAGGTCACAGTCAAGATGGAACAGGAAGATGATGATTGGGATGTACTGCCTGAAGATGATCAGCCTGTTTCCATCTGCTGGTGCAGTGCTGGTGTGTCTAAATTTTTTTGTAAATTTTATTGCTTTTTTTATTAACAGCAAGCTGATGGCTGACCAGCAAAGCGGCCAAAAAGCCAGACGTGAACCGTCCTATTGATCACTTGATTGATGAAGCTTGCAACATACAACAATCACCTCATTTTTCCAACCAGTCAGTTCCAAATGATTCCCATTTGTTTTCCTATCCCTATCAGTCCCTATGTTTCTTTTTTCATCAATGCCTGCAATTTACATGTCTTGAAATGTTTGTGATGTTTTTATTGGAGCATCAAAAAAATACTCTCTTGCAATACAAAGCTACATCAATCTCAGCAAGCAGTCACTCATCTCTCTTCTCCCATGTATAACATGGCATAAGAGAGCCATAGACACCATTAACCCATAGAAATCATGGGTTAGCAGGGTGTCATTATTTACCCATGATTTCATGGCTTAATAGAGACTTTCACTATTAACCCATAGCTAATTTGGTCCACCAAGGGGTATGGGTGAATAGGGAGTTGACTGTAGTGGGTGGAAAGCTGAGCTTGATGTAAATCAAGGAGCCATTGCACCTCCTTAAGCTTAAATTGAGGCTTGCACTTGCATATGTTTTTCAGCAGTTCCAAGACAGAGGTGTTGGAATCTGTGATCTCATGGGCTCATGGGGATGTATGCTTGGCCCTGTTTGTGGTATCTTTTGTGGGTGCTCATAAAAAGGCATCTTGGAACCTTTAATTAGGGGCTTGAATTTCCTGGCTTTGGCAAGAGCTTGATTTGGGAGTGAGGGACCAGTCAGTTCAGGGCCCTCATTGGACTCACTACTGTCCATCTCACTTCCAACAGTCATTGGTGGTACACTGGTGGCAGGGTGGTGTGGGATTATATGGGGGCCTCCTTGGACTTACAAACATTCTTCTCAATCCCAACAGTCATTGGCTGTACTGACAGCAGAGCTACTAATGTGTGCTTGTTTGGTATGGATTGGGATTTTCCTCTGTAATCTGGAGGGTCCAGGTCCTCAATGTTCTTGAGGATTCCTTGGCAACAGTTCACAATTAGCTGCATTGCAGGAAGGGGTTATTAGGATTAGATGGCATATTTGTGGTGATTGTTGCCAGAAGATGCTCAGACTCATAGGCAACCCCAAAATTCAGTAGAAAGAGTGGCCCTCTGGGGTGCTCCTTATAGGTTGTCCTGATGACCTTCTGTCCATTTTCTTCAGGTCCAAGAGTTTCCTGGGTTCTTGTCAAGTTGACAAGGGCCTAGAGAATCTGCATCCGTCTCAATAGGTCCACAGAGTATTTGAGGTTGTACTGACAAAGGGGAGCATGCCTTTTAGATATTGGCCAGGCAATCTGTCGATATAACGCGTCAACATGAACCGTTTGATCCCATGTGTCTCAAGTATCTCGACAGCCATTGATGGGCCCTTGTCTTTGCTGCCAAGGTTAGAAGAAGTGAAATGCCTATGAGACTCTGGCCACCACGGATATCCCATGTAGAAATGGAGAGAAACATACAACTTTTGAAAAATTGGCTTTGTGTGGTTTGGATAATATGAGGGGAGGCCATCAGCTGACACATCAATCCTGTGTAGTAAAAACTGGGTGCTGTCTGATGCCAGAGCCATGTTGGTTTGTTTGATGACTGAGTGAGATGTGAGCTTCTTGAGAGTTTGAGGAGATCTTGTTGACCGTGTTGGATGAGGCTAAGGATGTGTGTTGATCATGTTGATTGAAGATCAGTAGTGTACATGCACACTGATCACAATCCAAATGGTATCTCCTTTGGTAGTGTTATGTTGTGGTATGGACTTATATATATATCTGTACTTTCTCACTCACATGTCATCACATTATTTCATATTTTGTTATCTTATATTCTACTATACATTTACGGCTCATCAACCAAAATATGTACTTACACATCTATATATAGCTCTCATCTCTATGAAATACTATTTTTCCCTTTGGGGGAGTCTTTCATCTCTAAGATTTCAGTATCCGTAGTTCAACAGGTTATGAGCCCGCGCTGTTACCAGCGGGGTTTACACCGATTATTATAAGCTGTAGAACTTTATCTCGCTCATTGCTTCACCCTTCCGTGAAGATTAACTCGCGCTGTACAGATCCTCCCCAATATCGCTTCACCCTTCTGTGAAGAGCTTATTCTTGTTCGTTAACCTAGTTAGTCACCCATCCGTGACAGCATATGGTCAACACGCGCTCTGAAAATCCAGAGCTTATCATTCCAAACTTTGCGAATCGAGTCACTCCTCCACGCCAGACAAATCCTCATATTGTCGATCAGTCTTTCGACAACTCTACCTTTCTTTCAGCCAACAACTCCTTCGTCAACATGTCGGGTGAACAGTCAAACAATCAAACCGATAATCGAAGCCAAATCCCATTCCCATCCACCTCCACTCCTAAAAACGATTCCGACCCACCCAGTATTCCTGAAGACAACGAGAGCGAGAAATCGGATCCCAAGAACCCGGTTCCGACTCTGGAGCAACTCATAGCAAAAGAGCTCGAGAAATCTGGTCTGTCGGGAATCGATGACAACTTGCTGAAGGTTCTTTTGATTCGAAATTTGACCCGCAGCTCGATGGACGCTGAGGCTCCCGCCGGAAACTCATCCAAGTCAACCATTTCCGATCATCTGAAATGGCATCAACTCGGAAAGGACCTTGCTCCCTCGTTGTCGCTGGATGGATCCAATTTCCCAATGTGGTCGGCATCCTTGCTGGACACCGTGAAGCGAGTCACCGGTGTTGAGCGGTATTTCGAAGTGGATCGTTCTGGGGTCGATTCGGTTACGGCGGCAGGGGTTTTGACGATGGTCCAGCAGTCAGTCGATCCGACGCTACGCTCATCCCTCAACGGATTGTCAGCGTATGGGGCCTACACTTCCTTGAAAGGGCGTTTCGCGGCCACCTCCTGGTCTCTCCTCATTAATCGCTGGTCCGACATTGCACAGGCCCCAGATGCATCGGATTCAATTTCTTCCAGCTATGAGGCTTTAAAGCGGAGCTGGTTAGATTTAGAGGAGAGATTGGGAGGTTTGACAGCAGATAAGTTATTGTCTCTGTCATTCCATTCCTCCGTCCGTCGATACCAACAGGTCATGGCTGATTCGATCGATGCCCGCATTGCTATCAAGCCCGATCATGTCGTCAAGTCGGAGGACCTTCTTCAAATGGCAACTCGTCTTCATCAATTGGCATCGGCATCGAACTCAGCGTCAGCTATGGCAATCTCCTCTCAGGGACCACGTTCGGCTTCACAGTCTCATCAACGAGGCGGTAGAGGCCGTGGAAATCAACGTTTTTCACGGGGGTCCAATCGCCCTCCGAGTCAGTCCTCTCCGCATCAATCCAGTTCATCAACACCTCCTCCGGACAACTAGGCCAGGCAGTACCTCACGCCTGATTTTCCATGCAACTATTGCTGGGAATGGGGCCACTGGGCCCCTGATTGTCCTCGGGTCAAGAACAACCTCGCCCCGCTCGACGACCCAAGAAAGACCAATCCGTCGTGGAAGCCAAAAAAGTCATCTGTCCTATCCGGCCGTCTTCATAAGTCTGGCGAGCTTGCGTCCATATCGGCGACACCCGGAAATCCAGAGGACCCACTCTGTGATACTGGAGCGACTCATCATGTAACGTCGTATTCATCTTTTTTTGTCAACCTACGTCCGGCTAACGTGAAACTGCGTGTTGCTTTGCAAGACCGCATTTCCGTAGACGGCGTTGGGGATGCAATCGTTCCGACTCGATATAGTGACTTACATCTCAAGGATGTGCTTCTTGTGCCCCGTATTGGCGGAACGGTCATTTCGATTGGATATTTTGATCGATGGGATGGAGGGGTCGCTTTCCGGAATGGTTGTTTTTCTTTAACTCAGAACGGGGTTTCCTTCCCTACGTATGCCCATAATTATCACTGGTTTATCCCTTCCCCCAAGTCAAATGATTTTATGTCTCCTTCGACTCTCTCACCACACGTGTCCGCTATTTCCACTTCATCTCTCTGGCACACCCGCCTTGGGCATCTCGCCGTTCGTTTCTTCAATCGTACCATCAATAAGCAATGTGTCTCTGGTATCCCTATTAAGCAACTTCCGTCTCCCAAGTCAAAATGCCATTCTTGTTCTCTGGCCAAGAGTACACACACTCCGGTGAATTCTCCTTCGCGGGACATTGTAGATGCTCCTGGTGACATGGTGGCGGTGGACTTAGTAGGACCGTTTCCTGAGGCTTTAGATGGCAGCACCTACGGGCTGGTCATTCATGATGTCTACTCTAGGATGACCTCGGTTGTTGGTTTGAAGAGCAAGGCTACTGCGGGAACAGCGGTCATGGATTGGATTCTGGATTTCAATAAGTTGACTCCTTACACTGTCAAGACTATTTGATCGGATAACGCCGGAGAATTCACGTCGCACAAATTCAATAAATTCCTGAAAGAACACCACGTCGGTCATGAACTGAGCATCCCTTATGAGCACCATCAAAACGGTAGCGTTGAGAGGACAAATCGCACGCTTCTCGACATGGCACGAACTTTTGTGATCCACGCCAAGCTGCCAAGCTCACTCTGGTTTCTAGCGATGAAGCAGGCATGTTTTATTTTTAATAGAGTCGTGCACACG